GAGGGTCAGGGGAGACATGATAACGACATATAAAATACTGCGCGGAATAGACAAGGTGGGCAAAGACAGGATGTTCCAGGGAGGGGACACAGAAACAAGAGGTCACATTGGAAGTTGAAGACACAGATGAGTCAGATATATTAGGAAGTATTTCTTCAGTCATAGAGCTGTCAGGCAGTGGAATAGCCTAGAAAGTGATGTAGTGGAGGCGGGAACCATACATAGTTTTAAGACGAGGTATGATAAAGCTCATGGAGCGGGGAGTGAGAGGACCCAGTAGCAACCGGTGACGAGGCGGGGCCAGGAGCTAGGACTCGACCCCTGCAACCACAAATAGGCGAGTACACACAACACACACACACACACACACACACACACACACAACAGAACACACAACACACACACACACAACACAAAAACACAACAACACAACAACACAACACACACACACACAACACAACACACACACAACACAACACACACACACACAACACACCACACAACACCAACACACACACAACACACACACAACACACACACACACACACACACACACACACACACCACAACAACACACACACAACACAACACACACACACACACAACACACAACACACACACACAACACAACACACACAACACACACACACACACAACACACAACACAACACACACACAACACAAACCACAACACACACCACACAACACACACACAACACAACACACACACAACACACACACAACACACCACCACAACACACACAACAACACACACAACAACACACCAACACACACACAACACACACACAACCACAACACACACAACACAACACACACACACAACACACAACACACACACACACACACACACACACACAACACCCACACAACACACACACAACACACACACACACACACACAACACACACACAACACACACACAACACACACACAACACAACACAACACACACACAACACACACACAACACACACACAACACACACACAACACACACACAACACACACACAACACACACACAACACACACACAACACACACACAACACACACACAACACACACAACACACACACACACACACACACAACACACAACACACACAACACAACAACAACACACAACAACACACACAACACACACACAACACACACACAACAACACAACACACACACACACACAACACACACACACTACACACACAACAACACACAACATATACACAACACAACACACACACACAATAACAACAAAACACACACACAACACACAAGACACACACACAACAAACACACACAACACTAACCAACAAACAAACACACACAACAAAAATACAACCTACAACAGATGAAATTAACACATGTCAACTTCAACAACAAAAAAAAACATAACTGGACACAAAAATAATCAACCATAATGAATATGTATGGGAAGAAAAGTAATTAAGGAATATAAACACACGTGAGAGATATAGTGGTGTAGAAGAAAGTTCAAAAATCGTTAAGTAAGCAACGAAGAAAATGGCGGACCTACAACGAGAGAAGGAACCCACAGAATAAGACGGAGAATTAACAAGCATAAAGGTCTTTAAAAATCTTCTAAAAAAAAAAAAAAATAAATAAACTCGGCTAAGAAAACAGAAAAAACTGAACTCAAACTTAAAATATAACACAGGGGAGAGAGAGAGAGAGAGAGAGAGAGAGAGAGAGAGAGAGAGAGAGAGAGAGAGAGAGAGAGAGAGAGAGAGAGAGAGAGAGAGAGAGAGAAAATAAAAAACAAGCTATGAATGATATTAAAAGAAATCCTACATACTTTTTCTCATATGCAAAACACTAGGCACAACCACATCCACATTAGATTAGGTTAAAGTCTTAGTCACATGATGACGCACAGCTGGAGCTTTCAGTCATATGACCGAGGCCTTCCACTGGCTTACCCCTCCACTAACAATTATGGTAATGATTAAAACCATTAAGTGTAGGGGTCACATCCAGTATCGGGCTCTAGCTTAAAGGAAATGGGACCCACACTGATGACAACATTACTCCCTTTAGTGAGCCATCAGTCAGTCTCAAGATCTGACAATCGAAGTGAATTTTTCCATGCACGAGATTCAAAACCCTGCCGGCATCTCCATAATTTCTGAAATAGCCCCCACTGACTTCAAAAAAGAAAAAAAAACACTGATTACATGCTCCTGCACTCTGCTCCAGGTCCCGCCTCATGGAACTATAATGAAAACCTGCAAGAAACCATTTTTCTGTGGAGGAGAAACCTAACACAAGAATAATCTCAAAGTCCTTAAAAACACCGAGACAACACAAGACCATAAAGATGGCGGTAAAGCAATCACAAAAATAACTATAGACCGATAGTGCAGGCGTCATGCATTATCAAAATCTCCGAGTCTTAAGAAGCAAGATTGCTAATCACATGGAATCTTAACAGTTGCACAACCTAGGAAGGCATGTTGAAATGTTGAATCATAACACCATGGTCTTGGATGCAGTAGAAGACTTAAAATGAGAACATTCACAGTTTTTTGCCACAGTGTTTGACAAGTGTGACGATAATATAACTCACAAAATGTATGCAAAAGAAATATCTGGAAAAGTAGGCAGAATGATATTTAATTTTATAACGAACAGAACCCAAAGTGTAAGAGTGAACAAAGTGAAATCAAACATAAACAAAGACACAAATCATAGCACAGTATCATCTTCAGTTGATGGTACAAGAATGAGAGTGACATCGACTGAGGACACAGTAAACCTCCAACCTTATGTAAATAAGGTCTTCCAGTGGAACACTGACAACAATATAATGTTTAATGAGGACAAGTTTCAGTTAGTGTGTTATGGAAAGATTGGGGAAATAAAGATTCGAATGGAATATAAAACAAACTCGAACCACTCAATAGAGCGTAAGACTAATATAGAGACCTGGGAGTGATTATGTCAGAATATCTCACCTTCAAGGATCACAACAGTATCACTATCACAACTGAAGGATAAATAATAGGATGGATAACTAGAACTTTCAAAACAAGAGATGACAAGCCAGTGACGATACTCTTCAGATCAGTTATTTTCTCTAGGGTGGAAAATTGCTGTGCACTATATTATACCATGTGAAGAGGCTCGGTGAATGAATTATCTCTGACAAAAATCAACAAAACACACATAAGAACACAAAGGTTTAAACCAAATAATAAAAGCTAAAGTTACATGTATGAACCAACCACATAACACAGTTGATGAAAGAAGCTGAAGGTGCTCTCCCCATCCTTGAATCAAACCTGATTAGATCCCTTTTTCCAGCACTGTAAGACTCATTTGGCTTTTTGCTTCCATTCTTAATGTTTCCCATAGGTTCCAGATCCAAAAATGTTCAATATTTAAAGAATTGTGCATTAATGGTAGTGTATGTCGGATATAAGAATGAGGAAGAGAACGGGAGTCAATACTGTGCCTTGGGGAATTATTTTTCACACTGGCAGCCTCAGATTTCACTCTGGTCAATATTACACTTTGGCTTCTATTCGTTAGAAAATTTAAATATCCATCTGTCCACTTTTCCATTTATTCATTTTCCATATATTTTGTGAGCTAATATCCCCTGGTCACACTTGTCAAAGGCTCTTCCAAAGTTTGTGAACACTCAGTCTGTATTTCGCTTGTCTTCCACTGCATCTCAGACGGCCATACCATGTTGAACACACTGCTTCTCATCTGATCAGCGAGGTTAAGCAACGTTGGGTTTGGTTAGTACTTGGATGGGAACACTAAATGTTGTTGCCATCATCCTTTTTAATAGACCCCTGACTGTCTTGAAGATGGAGCTGAACAGGTACCTAAAGTCAGCACCTGTCCTGCAGGGCTTTGGTTCGTAAGCCGGTTTGCGTGCGGCCAGCAGTAACAGCCTGGATGATCAGGACCTCATCCATCTCAAGGCCTGGTCATGGACCGGGCCGCGGGGGCGTTGACCCCCGGAACACCCTCCAAGTATACTCCAGATATGTCGTAATGTTCAAGCAATTACGAGAGGCAGAAGCGACTTGTTGTAAACCCATATTGTCCTTGGTTATGCAACTGTTGAGATTCCACGTGATTATGTCAGTGGTTTCTAAGGACTGTGGGATGATACCTGTCTCAGCATACTGCAAATACCTCAGAACTACCCTAAAAAATAAAAGAACTAATAGTTATAATCACAACCAAAATTTTTGAAAAGGTGGAGGGGTAAGGCAGTGGAAGGTCTTTGTCAGATGACCAAAAGCTCCAGTTGTGGGTCATCATATGACTAAGACCCCATCAGGAAGCACTTGTCCTGTTTCCTGACAAACCTTACCTAACCATCCTAAGGGCTAGGATAAAGGGTTAAAGGGCTAGTGTGAGAATAAATTAGTCTCAAAACTCCAGACCGTCACGTTAGCCAGTAGACCAGATAGCCACAATAAGATTCAACCAACTAGGTATATTTCTACACCATAGGAAGGTTAGCACAGGCACCTCTGTGACCACAAATGGCCCAGTGGCTAACGCGACGGTCTGGAGTTTTGAGAGACTGACCGCGGGTTCTATCCCCACCCGTGGTATGGTTTGTTTACAATCGTGTCATTACGATTTCGTGAGTTATGTTAACTTCATAAGTAGTGCTCCTAATTTCTTGCGGGAGGAAGATGGTAGTGAGTGAAGAACCGAAGTTTTTTCTAATCTTATCATATATAGAAAAATAGATGAGAAATTGCTTTTAATACATATTCCGGCGTTTGAGAACGGTATCAGCCGTATTTTGACACTTTCTAAGTTTCATTACAATATGCATATAGCTAGAAATAATAGTATATTATCTAGAAATCCATGATAAAAAGTAATTAAGTGGAGTACTTACCTCATAAAGTGTTCCTATCTTCTCATAGGTGATGGGTAAAGAATGACTGAGTACTTACCTCATAAATGTTATCTTATACGAGAGAGGTAAGGAATGTTGGAGCACTTACCTCATAAGTAAAGTGTTCCTATCTTCTTCTGTGAGGCGAGGAGTCTGGAGGTGGCAGCCAGCATGGCTGGTGTCTCCCTGGCATGTCTGTACACTCCTGGCTCCAGCCTCAGCTTCCTCTCAGCCTCTAGGAGCGCCCTGGCGGTGCCACTCATCCCCAGGGACTCTGAAGGCCCTCCCCGCCCGTCCCACACCAGGTTGGTCAGGCTCTTTGGCCGAGTCAACTTGCGGCTTCGCTTCTCTGGTAATTTGGCCTTGATGGCTGCAGATCCACCAGAATCTGCCGAACCTTTTCCGCCGGAGGTGCTCGAGTCCAGTGTGTCGAAATCCATAGCCAGGTTTGTGAGGGACTTGTAACGGAGCTTGAAGAGTGGAGATGGTGACGACCCACCCCCCACGCCGCCCACAGGTCCAATGCCGTTCCCTGGACCCAGGCTTCCAACTTCCATCAGAGCTTCCTTAACTGGCGATGCACTCTTGTGCCTGAACACTCGTGTCTTCTGTGATCGTTGCTGTGAAGCCTTCACGAAAAGTTTGTTGTTACTGGGTTTGTTCTCCTGAAGTGGGGTTACAGGCGACGACAGCTGCCCAGGAGACTGCTGTTGTGATTGCTGAACTTGCTGCGGCTGCTGCTGCTGTTGCTGCTGCTGTATCCCAGATTTCTTCTCGTCTGATTTCCTGGAACGCTTCTCGACCCTACGCTCTGCTGCACGATCCAGAGCAGCAGATATGAGTGCTGGGTGGACAGAGGGAGACAATTTCTCAAAGGGTCTCAGGTCCCCGCGACGTGTTGGAATAGTCTCTATGGGCGGTGGCGTTGGTCTCACGTCAGCCCTGTCTGGAGATACTGGTGGTGGCGGTTGCGGCCGTCGGCTGGGCGTGGAGTGCTCCTCGCTGGCGTACGGAGATTTGATGTGTTTCGGCAGCGGAGCGAAACCCCTGACGTAGTCGTAGATCTGATCAATTTCATCGTAATCATCGGGAGCGTTGTCACCTGTGGACTGTTTGGTCTCAGGAGGACTCTTGGTGCGGTGGTGAGCACGGTGGTGGTTGTGATGGTGATGATGCTTATGGCGGTTCTTGTTCTGGTCTGGCCAGTTAGAAAAGCGGGGATCCCGCATGCCACCTTTGTTGCCCATTGAGACGTCATAAACATGTATCCTGTCTGCCACTTCTTGCAGAAGGGCAGTAGCACGTTCACACAGCCTCATAAACTCTTTTGTCTTCTCCACGTGGTCAGCGTTGCGGGCATGTGCCAGCTTGAGCGGGGCTGCGGGAGGAAGCAAGATGAGTGGCGCGTCCTTTCCAAGAGGTAACGCCGCCAGCGGCTCCTCTGAAAATGCAGCGAAGAGTCTGAGCTCCGGCAGAAACTGAGCGGCAGCCTTGGCCCCGACGGGTGGCCGGCCGTGCACCATGCGGACCATCAAAGGCAGCCGCTTGTTGAGCAAGTTACGGATGCTGTGTACGCCGCTAATGTTGTCTTCCTTAGCTATTGCTGAAAACTTTCCTCTGGAGTCATAAGGAAGATAAACATTCTGTCCTGCTTGGTCGAAACAGCGTAGAAAACGGTGTTGATTTTTGCCACTGTTCTTGGAGCCAATGACTTCGCCTACAAGAACTAGTGTCTCACCTGCCTGGACAGCTCGAGACTTCTCGGTAATGGTCTCAACGTCATCAGATCGTGAAACATATGCTTTCATGTTCTCCCGGACTAGTGCAGAATCTGGAAAGCGCTTGGCTAGTTCAGAGACGCTCTCCATGCAACGAACAGCACGTCCGTCCTCGCTAAGGATCTCGAAGAAGCCATCGTAAGTCTCCGGGATAATCAACTTGGGGCCGACGGGAACAACACGTCGTCCTTCCTTGAACTTGACGCACTGCGCAGCGACGCGTAGTCCACGGCCAGCAGACAACAGGAGGAGGGTGGAGGCGAGGCCAGGGTTGGCCAATGAAGGCACGCCCACGCCCAAGTACTGGCCTTTGATGACCTTGGCCAGCTGAGGCAGAGGGCCACGGGCGGCCACCTCCCTCACATAGGAACCTTCGTCCCCCCACTGCACCGCCCCCACCACTGCGCCCACGTCACTCGAACTCATCTTCCTGGGTGACGGTCACACCCCACCATTACACACGCCCACGCACCTGCCCTACAACGCCCACACTGGACCGCCACACGCCCACACTGGACCTCAACACGTCCACACGATGGACGCACCTCCAAGAGTCTACCACTTGTCTGTGTCACCTGAAGTGTTTGTGGTGTGGGCCGTGGAAGACTAGTGAGGCGGGGCTGCGCCACCCAACACCAGAGCACACGCTGCCTCCTCCTGGTGCAGGGCTGACGACTCCTGACGCAGGATTAACGACTCCTGACGCAGGGCTGACGATGGAGACACCCTCATCTTGTCGTTCAACTCCCACGCCACCTGCAACAAGAACATTACAAGTTAAATCATATATACCATTGATAAACCTTTGATGCCACACCATCAAAGTGAAAGTTGACAGAGTATATACACCAAGTAGTGTATATCTGTCAAGTCTATATACACGAAGATACTCATGAAGCTATGTTTACAGGGGCATAAACACGGCAACATAAAAGAGCAAATGAAATCCCCACTCTCGTAATTAGAATTGTTAATTATTTTCATTTTAGGGAAGTAATTGACTGTTGACAACTTGGGTGAAATAAACAGGTATACATTCAAGAGAGAGGTCCATTGATGCAGGTGAAGGGCTCTTGGTCCAAGGAATTGGCATTACCCTTTATTTCCTTGGATTGAATCTGATGCCTCCCACTCCCCTAGGCGCTGTATGACCCTCGTCCGTTTAGTGCCTCCCATTATGTATAATAATAATAATAACTTTGAACTCCTTTAGTAATGGTGTCTTCAGTGAAATAGTTTGCGTCATTTGTGTTAGTGTTAGCATACACTGACGATCTTCTCCAGGACCCTTTTGTTTACATCATTCAGATTACAGACTGAAAGCTGTTATCAGGCATCTGCTCCTTTCAGTGCTCAGTCGTGTTTAAGGTGTTCTACAATCCCTCATGATGCTGTTATACTACCTCAGCTTATTTCAAAGTCCAGCTCTATCTAAGGTATACTTCCACCACAGTAGTCTGCTAACACCCAGGTACCTATATACTTCTAAGTGAACAAGGATAATAGGTGTAACATCTGCCCATCGTCCTGACTAACCCTGGATTAAACCCGGGTCCACTCGGGTTAAATACAGTAAAATACAATCCAAGTTTATTTTGCAGTCTGCAAAATAAACTTGTATACTGGTTACTGATACTCCATTACCGTCAGTGATGTTTGAGAGAGAGGGGTGAAATGAATAGAGGGAGGGAGGACGGGAAGGTGCAAAGAGGAGGGAGGGGGGCTGGGAGCGGGAGAGAGAAACAAAGAGGAAACAGAGAGAGAGAGAGAGAGAGAGAGAGAGACAGACAGACCAGTGTCACTCCTGTTAGTCACTGGAAAGATTCCTAGACAATAATCTCGCAGCAGATGACAACGGTTTTCGATTGCCACTTGCTTCTTTGTAACCGTCAATATGGCTTCAGAAAAAGTTACTCTGCTGCTGCTCTGCTGTTAAACCTCTCTACTAAGTGGCACCAGTCACTAGATAAATCCAAGGCCAACTGTGCAGTAGCATTGAACATTGCTGGTGCTTCCCACAAGGAGCTCTTGACAAAACTGCAAGCACTAGTAGTCGCTGGCTCTGCAAGATAAGATAAGATTTCGTTCGGATTTTTAACCCCGGAGGGTTAGCCACCCAGGATAACCCAAGAAAGTCAGTGCGTCATCGAGGACTGTCTAACTTATTTCCATTGGGGTCCTTAATCTTGTCCCCCAGGATGCGACCCACACCAGTCGACTAACACCCAGGTACCTATTTGCTGCTAGGTGAACAGGACAACAGGTGTAAGGAAACGTGTCGAAATGTTTCCACCCGCCGGGAATCGAACCCGGGCCCTCCGTGTGTGAAGCGGGAGCTTTAGCCACCAGGCCACCGGGCCTCCTAGTGCCTGCCTTTTTAGTGATTACCTTCATGGTAGCGTCTAAGAGTAGTTCTCAATGGGACAGAGTCAACAAGACACACTATTGGTACAAGTGTGCCACAAGGAAGTGCACTTGGGCCATTGTTATGGAATGTCTACTTCACCTTCAATGACCATCTGATCCCAGAATCACATGCACATGCAGACGACTATATTCTGACATTTATTAATCCAAGAGAGGAAATGTCAACTGCTCTGAATTGCATCACCAGCTTACAGCTATGTCAGCCTGGGAAAACACAAATGATGTTCTCTAGGCACCATGATGGTAATACTGGAACACTGGTAAGAATGAAAGAGTGTTGGAACTCGGGGATGATGTTGATATCCCTGGGGTGAAATCTGATTCGAAACTGACTATCAAGAACCACGTAGTAAATCTCGCAAACAAAGAGGCCAGAAAGCTTACAACACTTAGATGTATCACACATCTGCTCAACAGATGTGGCTGCAAGACTGTACAAAGCACAAACATGCTCATACCTTGAGTATACTCCAGATTTGTCATTTCAGCAGAGCTTTCAACACCGGAGGGACATGTGTGGCCTTACTGTTATGTACAAGGCCAATGCTAAGGAAACAGAATTCGCTTCACTTATGGTCAGCAAGAAGACGGCGTTTACACAACAAGACGGGCAACAAACACCAACTATATTCTGGTTGTTCCCTTCAAGAACATCACATCATCTGAGAACATTTATTCCAAGAATGACTCGAATCTGGAACATGTTCGTGCAGCAAAATAACGCCGATGAGTAAAGTCAGTTGACCAAATGAAATAACTTCCAGAGATGGCTCCAACTTCCTCCAGTTCCCTATTTGTGTCTCCTAACAATAAAAAGGCTTTCAAATGAGCTGATGTAATGGTTCCTAGTTCGTAAATAAAACTAGGAGGTCTAAGTTAACACTGGAAAACCATTGTCTAAATAATAAAAAAAAGAGATGGACAGGAGAGGAAAATGAGAGGGACGGGAGAGTGAAGTGAGGTGGGGGAGAGGGGTGAGGTGAGGGGGAGAGGGGTGAGAGGTGAGGGGGAGAGGGGTGAGAGGTGAGGGGGAGAGGGGTGAGAGGTGAGGGGGAAGGTGAAAGGATGATACACGCAAGGTGCTGACGTTTCTGCTACACAATGAAAGCATTTTCACCTCACCACCTCAACTGTGGGCCCACACTCCCCCATCACCATGGTCCACCCACACTCCCCCATCACCATGGTCCACCCACACTCCCCCATCACCATGGTCCACCCACACTCCCCCATCACCAGGGTCCACCCACACTCCCCCATCCCCATGGCCCACCCACACCCCCCCATCACCGGTTCCCCCCACTCCCCCTTTCCCATGGTCCCCCCACACTCCCATCACCGGCCACCCAACTCCCCCATCACCAGGACCACCACACTCCCCATCACCAGGGTCCACCACACTTCCCCCATCCCCGGACCGCCCAAATCCCCATCACCAGAGGCCACCACCACTCCCATCACAGGTCCGCCCCACTCCCCCTCACAGGTCCACCCACACTCCCCCATCACTGGGACCCACACATTCCCCATCACCATGTCACCCACATCCCCATCACCATGGTGCCACACACTACTACCCATCATGGTACCACCCACTCCCCATCCTGGTCCACCTACACTCCCCATCACAGTGTCCTCCACACTCCCCCATCACCAGGGAGTCCCACACTCCCCCATCACAGGCACCCATACTCCCCATCTCCAATGGTCCACCCCATCCCCCATAACCATGGGTCCTACCCACACTCCACTCATACCATTGGTCCAACACACTCCCAATCACAATGGTCCACCAGCTAGGCCCCAAATCACATGGTCCACCACACTCCCCATCACATGGGTCCACACCTCCCCATACATGGTCCACCACATTCACCATGGTCCAGGCAGACGTCCCTCATCACCATGGATCCGTGACCGAACTGAGGTGGCAGCAATAAGGTGACCACACATGCATACATCCACGGGTCCACTCCTTCTAGTCTCCACATACAGGTTTCACCCTACATCCATCAACTAGGGTCCCCCACTCCATCACATGGCACCCACACTCCCCATCACCATGTCCACCCACACTCCACCCATCACAGGTCCACCCACACTCCCCCATCACCAGGGTCACCACACCCCCATCACCATGGTCCACCCACACTCCCCATCACAGGTCCACCCACACTCCCCCATCACCATGGTCCACCACACTCCCCATCCCATGGTCCACCCACATCCATCACCATGGTCCACCCACACTCCCCCATCACCATGGTCCACCCACACTCCCCCATCACATGGTCCACCTCAACCCCCCATCACATGGTCCACCACACTCCCCCACCACATCCCACCCATGGTCCACCCACACTCCCCCATCACCATGGTCCACCCACACTCCCCCATCACCAGGTCCACCCACACTCCCCATCACCATGGGTCCACCCACACTCCCCCATCACCATGGTCCACCCACACTCCCCCATCACCATGGTCCACCCACACTCCCCCATCACCATGGTCCCCACACCCACACGTCTCCACCCATCACCAGGGTCCACCCACACTCCCCCCATCACCATGGTCCACCCACACTCCCCCATCACCAGGGTCACCCACACTCCCCATCACCAGGTCCACCCACACTCCCCCATCACCAGGTCCACCCACACTCCCCCATCACCAGGTCCACCCACACTCCCCCATCACCAGGTCCACCCACACTCCCCATCACCAGGTCCACCACACTCCCCATCACCAGGGTCCACCCACACTCCCCCATCACCATGGTCCACCCACACTCCCCATCACCAGGTACCGCCCACACTCCCCCATCACCATGGGTCCCCCACACTCCCCCATCACCATGGTCCACCCCACACTCCCCCTCACCATGGGTCCACCCACACTCCCATCCCCATGGTACACACCCACACTCCCCCATCACCATGGTCCACCCACACTCCCCCATCACCATGGTCCACCCACACTCCCCCATCACCATGGTCCACCCACACTCCCCCATCACCATGGTCCCACTCCACACTCCCCCATCACCAGGTCCACCCACACTCCCCCATCACCAGGACCGCCCACACTCCCCCATCACCATGGTCCACCCACACTCCCCCATCACCATGGTCCACCCACACTCCCCCATCACCAGGTCCACCCTACACTCCCCCCATCACCATGGTCCACCCACACTCCCCCATCACCATGGTCCACCCACACTCCCCATCACCATGGTCCACCCACACTCCCCATCACCATGGTCCACCCACACTCCCCCATCACCAGGGTCCACCCACACTCCCCCATCACCATGGTCCACCCCA